AGGCAGGGAGATCACCGATCCGAAGTAAAATATTACTGGGGGACCCTTGTCCGCTAAGCTCAGGAAACGACTCGGCTTTAGGATAGGCAGGGAGACAACCGATTCTGTGTGGTGCAGCACGTACCTTTTCGTTAGTTCAACAATTTCTTCATCCGTAGGAGTGTCCTTGACCGGGATTGCAGGTATTTCAGCCACCTCGTTGTTCGTGAGCCGTGTAAGCACCAGAGTGTCATTTGACGAGACATCAGAACAGATCAAGGGGACTAGGTACTTTTCGACAGCACCTTTCAGCCTGTCTTGTTCCGAGAAGGTTTTCATGGGCCTTGATAGTGAGATCTCCCTTCGAGCTACCTGATGAAGGTAGCTACGTTTTTGCCCCACACCAACGCTCTTTTGAATTCTCTCAGGTGAGATTTCTATTGATTCCTCCTCAGTTGTGCTCACCCCAGTGGCGTCGTTCATCTGAGCTCTTTTAGAGGGGGATCCCCCTGGGATGACAATGCGATTTATTTTATGATTTACTTCTTTAAGTATCGAACACCTTGTCTTCCCAGGTACTGTGGGAGGTTCAGTGTCTATGAATGACCATTCCTTTGTGCTCTCTTTCTGAACCTCCTCTGTCAATCCCCCTTCCTCCTGATCAGGCCGACCTTCCTTTTTTCGGTCAGACTCATACATATCATTATAGTACAACTTGGCTTTACCAGATAGAGAACCGTGGGTCAGAGCTCGAGCCGCATCATACTGGGTTAACAGGTCCTGTGGTGAATTCCAGGAGTTGTCTTCTGTTATCCTGCCTTGCAGGGTCTCCCGTACTATGCCCAATATATCTACTTCTCCCTCCGACTTCGAGTTGTTCCTCCCTTCCTCCTCTACCAAATCCTCTTCCGTTTGCTCATCTCCTTGCTCCTCCCCCTCCTCCAATAAGTCCCCCACGGTCTTTTTCGTCGTCCCCATATCCTCTGAGTTTGGGTTTCCCCTTATCTCTTCGGTGGGGAACTCCTTATTTACCTTCTCCAAACCATCCTCATTCTTCGCTTTCCCTATCCTAGAGACCGGGAACTCCTCTCCTGGTGTCTCATCTAGATTCTCCGCCTTGTCTTTTCCTTCTTCTCTCCTTGGATTTCCTTTGTCCTCCTCCTTTTCTCTTTCCTTTTGTAATTCATTGTCCTCCTCTTCTTCTTCTTCCTCTTCCTCCTCGTCCTCCTCGTCCTCCTCCTCCTCCTCTTCCTTCTCGTCTTCCTCTTCTTCCTCTTCTATCTCCCCCTCTGTCCTTTCTTCCTGTTTCTCTTCTTCCTCCTCATGATTTACCCCATTTTTCTCTTCCATGTCCCCGAGGTCCTCTTCCTTTATGCCCTTCTCCTCCATATCCTCATCTTCCTGTTTATTCTTTCCATCCTCCTTCAGCTCCGTTTCCTTTTGTTCCCTTTCCTTCTCTTTCTCCACTTCCCTTTCGTTCGTCTCCTTCTGATGTGTCTCTGTTCCTTTGAGGACTTCTTGGTAAGTAAACTTAGAGCGTTCCTTCCACACTACCAGCTCCCGCCCTGTAGTAGGATAATGTGACTCTTTCTCCCTTTCTTTTTCTTTATCCCGGTCCGAACTCTTTCTACCGTCCTTCTCCCTACTACCTTTGTCCTTTTCCTTTCTTCCCCTCTCCTTCCCCTTCTCCTTTTCCTTCCCCTTGGGGTTTTTCTCTGCATTATCCTTAGACTTTTCATGGCCCGATTTCCCTTTTTGCTTCCTTTGATCTTTATGGCGTGAGTTCGTCGGGCAGTCTGGGTTGCCCACATAGTGGTAAAATCGACGGCAGTCAGCACACCATGGGGTGTCAGCGCTGACCACCTCGATTTCCGCCAGACCCTGTTCGGCCATGTCCACCAATAGCCATGGCTTGACTCGGATTCTTGCGGATGATGCCAGGTCGAAACGTACGTTTTTAAGCTCAGGAGAGATCGGTTTGTCAAATATCGGATATGTTTTCAGGACTGGTCCAAAAGCGTCTTCCACCGCCGTTCTGAGTTGTGGGAGCGCTGCTATCGGCACCAAGAAGCATCTGATCCAGAAAAACTTGAATCGCATAGCCTCTCTCCATTCTTGGAGTTGATGATTTTCGTTCATCCATGGTTGAAAGGTAAGCGACTACTACTTCCCATTGAGGGAGATTGTTTCTTGCTTCTTACGGAGCATGAACGAAGCCACCTGGCTCGAAGCTGAGACATACGTGACTAGATTTCTACACTCGTTATGGAATAACCCTCTTTTGGGGGGAACATTGACTTGGGGATTGGTTGCCCACCCGTCCTCGTGTGTTCGAACAAGATGTTTTTTTACTTCCACCGGCAGGGAGGACGAATCATCCCCAAACAAAATTGTGACCGCGTGTTCCTTTAACCATTCAACTTGTACCCGGAGCACTTCCGGGTTAATGATGACTCTAACAAAATCATCACCGGTTTCCACTGTATTCTTAGCCACGTGATTCGGCAGAATCCCATCCGAGTAACACTGACTCATAATATCTCGTATCCGTTGTCTTTCGGCCTCAGATAGTGGGGCATGGGAATTAGGAGGGGGAGGTGGAGGGCGAGGGGGAGGGGGACGAGGGGGTGCGGAAGAGGAGGCACCGTTGACTCCCATCATGGTGACTTACTCTTCCGTCAACCCTGACCTTCCCGTCCTTCCGTGTTACTCTTCCGTCAACCCTGACCTTCCCGTCCTTCCGTGTCCCTTAACTCCAAAGAAACACCAGTCTAAACTCTCGCGACTTACGTGAGTTAGTATGCATGCAAGTAGCAACGAATCTAGTCCTTAAATAACTAATGAATACATTATGAGGCATAAATAAAACTGGGATAATACTGCTATAAACCTCCCATATCTCCAAATCGAGTCGTCGTAAGAAATGATACCTTTCTTCGTATGTGTGAACTTTGGTGGCCCAGGTCTTCGTTATGTCGGGAAAAACCACTCAGCCTTCGTCATACCGAGTCCTTCCCCACGCCTATGTTCACCCCTCGCCATTGCCTGAAGCCTGTTGGTAGCACGAAAAAAGGAGCAGTCCTGTAGTGTCGATTATTGCCAGCTCCTAAATCTTTGTCTGCATGACCGCCCTTCGTCGGTGGACCGAAATGCCTCCCTGCCCCCTGGTGTTCCACAGGGGGAAACGTCATAAAAGGTATACCACGCGGAAGGTGGAGGGCACATAGAAAATGCCAAAGAAGACGCCCTTCCACATGCTCCCCGCCCTGGCCCGCCGCTCCCGTCGTTTGGAAAAAAAAAAAAAACTAACGCAGGTTAGCGCCGCCCCTGGGCGGTCCACCACACCATCCTATAAGATTATTGTACCACGGGGTTCAGCTCATCAGATTTTTTCATGCCCTTCATGGACTCATTTTGGAAGAGTTTGGATTAGAGGAAAGAATTGGGACAATGGACCCGGTTTCCAGTACCAGCCTAAGCTGGGTACAGGCTCCAGTATTCTCCGGGTTGATTGTGAGGAATTCCTGACCTCTTTCTTTCCATTTGCAATACATGTTGAAAGATGGGTGGAGTGGTTCAATACCCTGAGTCGCGAGGAGGAGGGTGGGTTTGCGGGGTCCTTGACCCCTGCCGCGCGGGAGGTGGGGTGTTGCTGCTGGGTTATGATGCGATTGGACGAGAAGTCACATATTCGTGATGAGTAATCGTCAGTTCGGTTTCCACTTTCTTCAACAGGCTTTGTTTTTCGCAGTCATCTGAGTTCTGGGAGATATGGGTGAGCATCTCTCCGCAGGAGTTTCTTCATGGAGGGCGTTGGGACTCCTTTAGGGATGTAGATGTGGAATAGGGGGTAGAGTACCCTGAATCGTGAGGAGGTGGGTGGGTTTGCGGGCCCTTTGGCCCCTGCCGTGCGGGTGCTAGGGTAATTCTGCTGGCTTGCAAAAACACCGTCGTGGTGGGAGTTGGTGTTTTTGGTATTGGTGAGTGTGGGAGCGATCCGCCCTGAATCGCGAGGAGGTGGGTGGGTTTTGCGGGGGCTGTGTCTGTAGTTGGGGGCCTGTGGGTACAGCCCCCTGCCGCGCGGGTGGCAGGGCGGTTTGCAGGGCTAGGCAATATTCTCTGTTGACTTAGGGATTGTGGTCTGTTCTCCTCCCTTTCTGGCGTAGATTAAAGTTCTTTGTGATTGGGTTGCAGCTTGAGAATTGTGTGCTTGTTGCGTGGGCTAATTACTGAGTTGCCTGTTGTTGGTTTAGGATTCATGGTTTATGATAAGGGTTGCAACCGCGTTGTGGTCCGGTCTTTGGGCTTGACCGGTGATGTCTCGCCCTTTGTCGCGACCACCTGCTTTATGTGAGGGACGCCAGGCCCGATTCCTGTTTTTTTTTTCGAAATATAAGGGACGCCGGGCCCGGTTCCCGGTTTTCTTGAAAAAAAAAAAAAAAAAAAAGAACTTGGTCAACTGCTGGGGTCCAGGGGCGTGGTCCCACTAGCAAAGAGGATCAGATCCAACGCCTGAATCTGGACGAAGTTGTCGAAATGTGCAGGAAATCGAGATTGAACCGCTTTTCTGCATCTCTGCATAAAACACATCCAGCTTCAGGCATTCCATCCGATCCTCTTTGCTAATGGGACCTCGGCCCAGGCCATACAGTTGTTATTTTCGGCGTGAACCAAGAGGGCCAAGAGGCAGGCCCCACCATAGCACCAGTTGGGCCTGCCACGACGCAGAGTTACTACAGTCAGATTCATGTCATGCATGCATCTTGGTTCACACAAGGGGCACGTCCATATGACGGTAGTGGGGCGCTCGGCGGAGACCTGTGGGGAGGTCCCAATAGCAAGGAGGCTTGGATTGAACCCCTGAATCTGGACTTGTTTTGGTGACATGTGCAGAAAATCGGGATCCATCTGCTTCTCTGCATCTCTGCGTGAAACACGTCCACATTCTGGCGCTTAATCCAATTCCCTTTGCTAGTGGGACCTCGCCCCCTGGTCGCCACAAAATGGACCGTCAACGCGGGGTCAAGGAGGTCCTAACTGAAAACAAAGACGTCCTGAAAACAAAGAAAAAGCTAAAAAAAAAAGAAAAACAAAAAAAAAGGACGTCCTTATCCTTTAAGTTTAAACCACCACTAGGCGTCGCAGCCTTTCAAAAACGGAGAGTCAGAGCCTGTAGTTAGATTACCGGTAGGGCTTTTCTGGGATGTATTGGACTGGCTTTACAGCCGCGTCTGGATGCATCTGACCGCAAATACGCCATAGATAAGCTCAAAAAGTCCTTGCGTCATTATCCGCTCAGACGGTACACTAACTACACAAACTCTTAACGATGTTTTATTTTTAAAAATTTAATTTTATTGCGACAAAAGAAAAAAAAGAAAATCATTTACTATAAAACCGGGAAACGGGCCCGGCGTCCCTCACATGAATTCCGTAGCCAATCCAGGCTGAACTGACCGGGCCCAGGGGCGTGGTCCCACTACCGGTAGCAAAGAGGATCGGATAGAAATCCTGAATGTGGACGAGTTTATGGAGATGTGCGTGAGATCGAGATTGAACTGCTTTTCTGCATCTTCTGCCTAAAACACATCCAGATTCAGAAAGGAGCTCGATCCTATCCTTTTTGCTAGTGGGACCTCGGCCCAGGTAATTCAGAATGATTTTACTTTGTTCATCTCATTGTAATTCCAACCGGATTCGAACTTGGGTTCGCCATTTTAACAGTTCGGGGCTGTACCAACTGAGCTGGGCTCGTTGGTACTCTTAACTAATTTTTTATTTTTGTTTCTATTTTGTATAATTTGGACCATTTCTCGATTTTTGCGGGCCATGCTAATCTTCTGTTTCTCTGTATCGCTCCAATTTTAACGGATGTCCCTGAGGACCTCTTAACGATTTTCGTTTGCTCCTCCTGCTGGCATTTTGTTACGGTCCGTCCGGAAGGCCGCCTGCAGGGCCGATGTCCCACTACCGTAGCAACAAGGGTTGGATTGAACGCCTGAATGTAGACCAGTTCGCGGAGAGGTGCAGAAATTCGAGATTGAACTGCTTTTCTGCACGTCTGCTTACACCACGTCCAGATTCAGGAGCTCGATCCAATCCTCTTTGCTAATGGGACCTCGCCCCTGCAGGTGGTCTGTGCAAACACGCAAGCGCGCACACACACACGATGCTCTGTGCTTGTCGCCTGACTCGTGTTCACCTGAAGTGGATTTTATTATTATTATTATTATTATGTTTTTTTTTTTTCCGGTGAAGTGAAAGATTTGAAAGTTTATTTTCCGCCATTTTTTCGAAAAAAAAAAGAAAGAAAGAAAATGAAGTTTCCGCTCCCCCTTTTTTTTTTTCTTTTTTTTTCTTTTCTTTTCAAAAGGGCATCATCATCATTTTTTTGTTTTTTGGGGGAAAAAGGGCATCATCATCGAACTCACCCGCCGCCTACAGATAATTCAGAGAGAGAGTTACTCTCCTTATTGATTGGTCCTTAAGGTGGATTCGAACCTGCGTCTGCTTCTGAACAGGTTGGGTGTTTGTTTTTCGTTCTAGGAAACGAAATAACCTTTTTTTTTTTTTTTTTTTTTTGAGGGCTCTTTTGTATTCAGCCGCCGCTCTTCAAATGAGCAACAAAAGGAAGAGACAGTACAAAATGGGAATGAATCTTCCCCTAGAACTCGAAAAGATACATACTAAGCCATTTTTTTTTTTTTTTTTTTTGAATTTAACCGCCATCGTTTGTGTCTTTTTGTATGTGGGTTGTATTTCACGACCGCGCGTATAATATCGAGACGAGAAGAGAAGAAATCGCGCGCCAGAGGAGAGGCATCAAACATCAAACATAAAAAACTGCACATGGTTTTGTATTCAACGGAATGTTGGTGGCGCTGGTTTCGCTGGTGGCGCGGGTGGCGCGGTAGAGTGAAATACTGTGAAAAGTACTGCTGCTCTGCAGATGGTGCAGAAGCTCCCGCCGGTGGCACCGAAGAATGTGTTGGTATTGCGAAAGAAGTTCAAAGAACGAAAGACAAGACAAAAATAGGCAGTGATGGCCGTCGATCTGACAGATCGACGGTGATAAGGCCATTCGTAGAAACCGGAAAATCCATGTACGGTAGGCCGGCGGGAGATCCAATCAGCAGTTTCTGAGCCAAGGACACACCTTGTGTTCTGCTGCTGGCGGACAGGAGCTGCAAAAGCTGCAGCACCAGGAGTAAGAGCAGGAGGAGGAGGAGGAGGGGGAGTAGGAGTAGGAGAAGGAAGAGGAGGAAGAGCATGAGCAGTTTCGGCCTGCAGAGCGAGGCGTAGAAGACAGAGGGGGGGAGAGTCGGGGGAGCAGTTGGTGGGATCACAGAGCGCTCGGCATCCTCCGCCTAGGCTGTAGGAGAATGCGAGAGGGAGAGAGAGTGGGAGGGAGGAGGAGGTGGTAGGCAGGCGGGGACGTCGCACGACAAAGCGCCGGCACAGAGAGAGAGAGAGAGAGAGAGAGAGAGAGAGAGAGAGAGAGAGAGAGAGAGAGGGCGCCCGCCTGTCGCACTGCGGAACTGCTATGACCAATGTAGGCATCGGTCTCAACGAAGGTGCCGAAAACAAGCCGTAGGTTAAGTAGACATCACGCATAGGAGTTTTGTCCGCCCCGTGTGAAAAAAAGAGGAAAAAGTGAGCAGGGCAGACCTCTTGTTGTGTGTGTGTGTGTCTCTCCGTGTGGCCGTGTGTGGCAGTTCGAAAAGAAGGGACGGAGAGAAAGCGACAGAACACAAGGGCGAGCGAGTGAGAGGATCGAGAGGAAGGGACGGATGAGAGACAGTTGGGTGTCTCTTCGAAACAGTCAGATGGTTCTTTGAAAAACAGTAACACACGCACACACACACACACACACACACACACACACACAGAGAGAGAGAGAGAGAGAGAGAGAGAGAGAGAGAGAGAGAGAGAGAGAGAGAG